CATTTGCTCCTCTCCTTGAAAAGCAAAAGAAAAACTCCCTCATTGGTACACAATCCCCCCGAATTTGGGTTTTTTTAGCTCTTTCAGTTGAAGAATTGTCAAATGAGTTACTCTTTATTTTCTAATTCCAGCTCTTTGCACATTTCATTGTAATACTTTTATCTTCCAGAGCTGCCCTTTTAAATCTTTTGTTCACCTCTTTTAATTTGGCATCTCTTCCTTTTGTTTTGGTTTCTTAATACTCTCATGTGATTGTCATAGTTCTGCCAGTGATTTCATCTTAGATTCCCAATCAATATCCTTGGGACCAGCAGTCAAGAGATCAAGAGATGTGTTGCTTTGGGTGTGCCCGCTGTCAGAGATCTCTCCAAAATACTGAAGAGCAGTGATATAAATCTAAAGACTTAAGGTGCACCTGATTTGGGCCATGGTCTTTTCAGTTACTTGCTATACTTCTGAGAGCTAGACAATGAATAAGGATAACAGAAGAATTGGGGCCTTTGAGTTGTGATGTTGGAGAAGAGTACTGAATATTCCATGTACTACCAAAAGAACAGATATATCTTGAAAAAAGTGTAGCCAGAGTAATCTTTGGAGGCAAGGGTGTAGAAGCTTTGTCTCTTCTGTTTTGGTCTTGTTGTTAGGAGAGACTGTTCCTTGAAAAGGGATGTCATTCTTGAAAAGGTGGATGTCAGTGAAAGAGAGGAAGACTCCTGACAAGATAGGTTGTCATAGTGACTGCAGCAGTGGGCTCAAATCTATCAGAGATAATGAGGATGGCACAGTATAGAACAGTATTCAGGTCTCTTGTTCACGGGGGCGGGGGAGGGTCACTTGAGTTGTACTTGACTTGATGGCACCTAACAACAACAAAAAGAGCAATGGCTGATGATACTGAGACCTCTTCTGATCAATTCTTGAAGGAAACAAGTCAGTTTCAAGGCACCTGTTATACCAGTAACAAATCCTTTAATAAAGTCTTTATAGCAACATTTTCCATGAACAGTTAGACCCTGAGCTCTTTGATACACTCCCTGCAGGTGACAGTATGTCTACAGCCTGTGCTGTCTGCACCAGCATGAGAGAAACTTGCAGTGTTGCTTCCGGCACTTTACAAAAAGGCTCCCTGTTGTCAGCAT